GATGTGCGAGATGTCCTCAAACAAGACCTGAAACAAGACCTAAAACAAGACCTAAAACAGGACCTCGAACAACACTCACACACACATGATCATATTGAAGCAAAGTCCAAGCGCATAGCAGGTTTTGCCGTGCATGCCACTTCGACCGGGAAGGTTGTCAGCTTTGGCAGCAATGTTTTGTTGGCCCCAAGGCGTCCAGTCAACTATTGCTTCATGTGCTGTGTTTGTGGCCAAACACGCGTCAGCAGTTCTCAATCAACTTGGAAAACTTGCGAGAAAAAGTTGCCTCATTCAGAAGCCTCCCAATGGAACATGCGTTCGTGCGCTGGCTGGTATCCTTTGCCAGGGTTTGCCAGTGGACTAGACACCTCGCATTCTTGTCTTGGGGGTTCGTGCGACCGACTGCCGGTGATCGCCTGCCTCTCTCACGGCAAAAGAACCCAGCTAGTCTCAAGGGTTCCCGGGACTAGCTTAATGACCAATACACCACTGGTGCACCTCACTTCCTGAAACCGTGGGCCAAGTCCAAACGAACTCTGTTTGCAACTCAAATGATCCCAACAAGTTTAAAGTGCAACTCAGGAAGTGAGGCACTGGGGGTTTCGGGTCCTTTCGGCCAAGCAAACCTTCCCGTTAGCTCCTCCTTTGCCTGGCTTGTCTTCTTCTTCCCCGCGACGCAGGGCCTTGTGTGCCCAGAGCTTCATCTCTGGGAGGGGGGAGGGGGGCGGGGCGGCACGGATATGTGCAAACCAACCATGCTGGAATTCTGGCCTTGGTCTTGGAAGAATTGTGCTCGGCTTCTTGCTCTGGCATAAAGCCGCCCTAGGATGTGCAAGACATTTGCAGATGCTTCAGGAGAACACCAAGATGTTGGGATGTGACTTGCTACCATCACATCGGCGTTTGACGAAACGCCAGCTTTCGCGTATCTGGAACATCGCGCACCAATCGAACAACTGTCCAACCTCACCTGACGAATCTCAGAAATGGGTCGATGTCAGATTCAACGCTCGTCTGCTCGGAGCCGGAAACGGTTGCTTCCCAGGTGTCATTGAACAAGTTCTACCCGGACGTTGTTCAGCATTCCCATCACACAAAATACACTAGTCTCCGAAAGGGGGGCGATCCAAATGGAGTTCCCTTTTCGGGTGGGTTTAAAGATCGGGAAGCCAAAAGCTTTCGTTTTTTCTTTGGGGGGGGAGGGGGTTCCATGTTGATATGGCGGCCCACATCTCCCAGGTTGCCCGACTCCGGCGTGGAGCCAGTGTCCGCCACGTTACCTTGGTGCAGTTGGTCAGGGGCTCCCACACTCCTATATAACCAGATGGCCTGAAAGCATGAACATGTTCATAGTGGGTGCAAAGGCATGCCCAAGCTAAAATATGACATCCAAAAGGAACTCAACACACATTTGAACCAAAAGGTGAGGGCTGAACCACTTGAAGACAGAAAGACAGACGACAGACAGACAGACAGACAGACAGACAGACAGACAGACAGACAAACAGACAGACAGACAGACAGAAAGACAGACAGACAGACAGACAGACAGACAGACAGATAGACAGACAGACAGACAGACAGACAGACAGAAAGAAAGAAAGAAAGAAAGAAAGAAAGAGGCTCTTGATACGTGTCTGCTGGCTGCCAATGCACCAGCATGGGTGGTAGGGGTCTTCAAGATATGAACCCTATCATGCGTGGTGTCATTTGTCTCGCGCCAGGCTATGTTTGACAGAGATGTTGTTGCATGTGAGCACCCCGAATGCGGGCCTTGTAAACCTAGCAGGAGTTTTTGATGTCCATCCCGCAATAAGCGGCAAATTGCATCTCTCAGGCTGTTGTCCTTGCCTTTCACTTGTTGAGTGACATTTCCCAGCTCATCATATGTGTCAAATGGCCAGAAGGACTAGCAAGTCAGCTTCCAGAGGGCGAGGTGCACTTTTCGGCTTCCAACCGCCAAATGCTTGCCTCCTTTGGGGCGCCCCCCCCCCCACGTTGAACGTGCTTCGGTTTTCCGGGTTTCCCTTCAAACCAAACCGGGGTAGCAAATCAAAGAATTGGACACACCACGGACCAATGCCGAGGCCCGGGTTTGCCTCGGAATCTGAGGCATCCGCCCACGAAGCCACCCGGGCTAGTGGCACACCTCAAGGTGTAACTGACCTCATTATTTCACCATGATCAAAGTCACCCAAGTGGTGGGTTAAAGGGAAACCACCGAATCCATTTTCTGACTTTCTTCACCCCCAGAAACCGTCAAAATCATGACACCAGTGCAACCATGGGAATGCACATGGGAGACCCCGACACACTGTTCTGGCCGGGGACCCGTTCGTTTTCGCCAGCATCTTTCTGAAGCTTGCAGAGGTTTGTTTCATGTCGACCCGGGCTCAACGACCTGGATCCAGTGTTCCCAGTAAATGAAGCAGTTTTTTTTTTTCGCTCGACGAAGCCTTTCTGCAAGTTGGTCAAAACAGCAACCCCGACCTTTCATCCCTGTCTCAAGCGACAAAGGGCTTGGCCTTTCACGAATCGGACATTCCCTTAGGCCACATCATCATGGTGGTACTGGGAACAGTGGTCTCAACCCTGGTCATGCAGCAAAAAAGCGGGATAAGCCGCCCTTGCAACTGTTGCCATGATCACTGCCTACACAATCTGATCTTATTCTAGGTCCTCCAGTAGAGAGGTTTGAATAAGGGTGAGAAAGGGCACTACCGGGGGACCTAGTATTGTTGCCCACTGATCCGTGCTCTCACCCGAACTACAGGACTTGCAGCACTTCTGGCTCTGCATTCGATGCCTCAAATATGTGGCCCCAACGCACTGATGGTCTATCTCCAACATTCCACTTGACCAGGGAGCCCACAGCCGCCCTTGCCCAGATTCACATACTGTGGATGGATTTCACCTTGCACCACTTCCTTGTTGCTGTTGACCCCTCTGGAAAAATTCAACCTTTTGTGGGTTCAATGGAAAAACCTTGATTCCCGAACAAGCTAAAGTCTAAAGATCCAACGAAATAGCAATGAAGACTTGGAAACCAGAAGAAACAAGGAGAAACAATTGTTTGTTGGTATTGCCGGAAAATCATCATTCCAGGGTTTCTTGGGTGGTGCAGGATTTCGTCCATCCACAGTAGCTCCCACTGAAGATGGTGCTGTAGATCCCCCAGCAAAAAGTTCTACTTTTTGCTGGCTAAAAGGAAATAGACGGGGAATCCAAAAAGTTAGTCTAAAGATCCAACCCAATAGCAGCAGTTACACCCATAGGATCCCTCGGAATCATTGGCTCCCCCAAGCGAAGAATGCAGCCAGGTGTCTGCATGCCCTCGAGGGTTGCAGTCCTCAGATGCCAATTGTGTTTCGGTTGATCGGCCCACGTGTTCCAGGAAAGGAGCGCATTTGTCAAAATGTAGCAGTAAATAAAAATCAGCCTCAGCATCGGTTTACAGTGATTGGGGGCTACGAGTTGTTAAGTCCACTATAAGTCGTTGACGTGGCCATGTAAACGCATAGGAAAAGCAGCAGGCAGGCAACGGCGCAGGGGTTTGTCTTGCGTGTTTCAAAAACAGGTTCGGTCATCAGGAAGAGGAACTCCAGCGGTGTGCAGATAGCAAACCAAAGACAGGACGTGCTGGGCAGCTGGTTGGATTTGGCAGACGGCAGGCAGTATCGGTAGGGGTTTTCATTGCGTATCGGTTTAAGCATCGGTTGGGGGCCTTTAAGTTTCCCTCCGGAACCTCGGAGCAACAGTTGGCTCGCATAGTTTCTCATCTTCCATGTGGTTAAGACCCCTGTTACATATATATATATATTTATTCATTTATTTATTTCTAGTAGTGATAGATTCCCTTTAAAACCAACAAGGGAAAATACAAAATAGTCTTAAGCAAATGGAAGTCAACACAGGGTGCAGCTCCCAAGGACATGCAAGAACCAAGACTATTCGAAAGAAAATCGCGTCTTCCTGGCCTCGGGACCCATTTGTTTGGCCCCTGCAAACGAGGTGAAGGGACAGCCCCTTACATAAGGAACAGGTGCGGAGGAGTACGATGGCGCAGCCGTTCTTGGAAATTCCCCGGCTGTTCGAAAGGCACACGAACCTTTCACGTGGTGAGATTCTGATTTCCTTCAATGCCAAGTTGGTCTTGGTCGCCCTTGCTGGGGGAATTGATGGCAACCGCTCGGGTTCAAACTGTGGTGTCCACAGGAAGCCTTTTCTTCAGATGCCCAGAGGATTTCCCACTGGGAACGAAACGCATCGGAATTCCGTTTTGGCTGGTTGAGTTTGACGGGGAAGCCTTCCCCAAAAGAAGGAGAAACGACCGGCGCCACTGGGCAACAGAGCTTCATTTTCCTCCCAAAAGGCCCGTGAGTCTACTTGTGTTTCCAGAGGCCTCTAATTGGTCTTCGAGAATCTTTGATTGCGAGGTAGCCAGACCTCGCTGAGAGGGCTTTTTCAATCTTCCGAAGCATAGTTAAAACCCACTCACCTTCCAAGATGGCTGTGACATGCATTTCCGAACTCCCTATTCGACCCGGGCAGTTGCATGGTATCAACAACCCGCACAATCGGATGCTTTGCCCGTCTTGCTATACCTTGCTTGCGGGCGAGACCCCTCTGCAAAAAGTGTTTATAACTTTCGACCAACAAGTCAAAATCAGATCCAGCCCAATAGCAATCAAAGTGCTTGGCTCGCAGGGGCCAGCTTGAGTCTGATTGAACATGTCAGATCCACCGAAAATCCAAGCAAATAGCTGTTGGTTTGTTGGTATTTGTAGGGGAATCGAATCATTCCAGGGATTCAAACATATCACAAACCAATACAATTGATAAACAAAAAAAGTGTTAAACCTTGATAAATCACAAACAATGATAAAACAATGACAAGACAGATCACAAGCAATTCATAAATCATATACGTGATTTAAAGGATTCCCCCCTTTCGCACGCCATAATTTTTCCCTCAGCGCCGGGACTTTGGGGCTCCCGGCATCCATGCCATGGCCCCGTCGGTGGGTGCCACAGGTCCGGGGGAGATGCCCTCGGAGAGCGCCGAAAGGAGTCAGACTTTGGACCGAGGATGCCGAAGATTTGTGTGGACTTGGGTGACAGAGGTAGGGGTTGATTCCTGGTCCATTCAAGCATCGTTCTTTTTTTGTCAAAAAAAACAAAACGGATCCGTTTTCCCTGGGATTCCGGAGGTTTTCTAGAAAGAAGGATCCCTGGAAAGAATGGAAACGGAAGGTACCCATAGAACGAAGGCCTTTTGGGAGCCTCCGTGTTCGTCCATACCTCTTTGCTCATCACCGACTTTTATCTCAAATGAAGCTGAACAAGCAAATACACAAATGAGCCAACGGTCAGAATATGCGATTCTCGCAAAGGCCGCTGAGTCTCCTGGGGTTTGTGATAAGTTTAGTAGACGACTGGGATTTCATAATTTTTCGGACCCAGCCAAATGACAGAACAGCCAGTGCCATCTAAACAGGTTCCTTGACAACCTCTCTCCAGCAAATAGAAGTTAGCGAGGCTCCTCTTCTTTTTATATGATGGGAAATGCTTTGCAAGCGCACATTGGTCGGAAGAAGAGTCACGCACGCTTCTATTCTACCAAAGGCGTTGACTGTTCAGCCATCCGTATACAATATGAGAAACAGGGTTCTATTTGACAACCTCGCTGGGAGACTTTGGTGGCCTGGATTTGTTTTCCAACTCCCCATTCCCCTCTGGCGACATGAGGACAACTTCCAGCCAGAGTCGAAGTATTGGAATCTCCTGGGCCGGCCTATTGAAGTGACACTATGAAAACATAAACATATCACTCGAAAGCTGACTTACAGCATATTTACAAGGATTCCTTCATTTCAAGGGAAAACACCAGTCAATTGCAACTTTTGAAGGGGAAATCCATTGACCCCTGCTTTCATCCAATATTTTTTGACCAAACCGTTCAATGGATTCAGTGGCTTCGATTTGTCCCCCCGGAAAAACCGAGCAAACGCAGGCCTGATGCTGGTACTGGCCAATGCAGTCCTCATCATCGGTCTCCTGGACACGTGGACGAGAAACGAGGCAGCCCCTGTATGGTTTCATCAGAATGTGGCCTTCACCACTGGTCGGGGTCATTGGGGGGTTTGTAGGTCGCAAGTGGTGCTTTCTCTATCGGTTGGCTTGCCATGGGGGAGGTTAGACAGTTGGCTGGAAACGAAAACAACAGGACTCCAAGACGTGCCAATTTTCTACCCTTCCCTGGAAGTCGCTAGTCACACTTCAACAGGAACACGGTTGCCCCTGAGTGCTAATTCATCCCCAGCTCGCAGCAACTTTGATGGCGCTTCTGCATGCCACCTGCGTGAGCTTGGAAGGGCTTTGGCTGTGGGTCAAAATCAATGGTACCATTTTGGGGTAGGTGCACCACCCATTTTAGTCTATTTTAGTACGGGATTTTGACCCATGGCCATTTAGGTCTGCACCTGAGCAGAGTTGGCCTTATGCACCGCGGGAAAAGCACATGGGCCGACGATGAAGTCGCCTGCTTCCGAGTGACAATGCGCTTGCATTCAGGAGTGATACTCACGTTAAGCACACAAGCAACACACAAGTTCAAAAACTCATCACCACAGAAGGATTCTCACATGAGGAACGTCAACGCATTCCTGACATGGTAACACACATGATTAATGTCAGCGATCCGCATGTAGATCTCAACCTCCTTTGGCCAAGAAGGCCAAGCTCTGTACTGCATCACCATCGATATAGCATGAGCTTCTACACTGGGGCACATGATCAGCGAACAGTCGTGCAACTCCCTCCTCAATATGCCAACAAATGAAGTCTTCCGCGGTTCCGGCGCGGAAGCGCATTCACTAGCATGTCCAAAAAGGGAGACTCCCCCAAAATGGATCTCGGTTTCCCCTTGTGGCGTGTCTTTTAGCCGATCTGCAAAAGGGTACCCCCCCTCCCACTAACATGGCACCTGACAGGGGCCCGGTCCCTACAAACAGAAAATGATCTTCCAGGTCCCTCCCACAGGTGGCTTGTGAGTAGAAGGGAGGGTACCCTCCAAAAACGAAACACATGGCTCCCCTTTTAGCCGCTCTGCAAAAGGGTACCCTCCAAAAACGAACGCAGACCCCCCCAAAAGAAAACAAAAATGGATCTCGGTTTCCCTTGTGGCTTCCCTTTTAGCCGATCTACGGAAGGGTACCCTCCAAGAACGAACACACACACACACACACACCCACACACACCCCACGCACCCACACAGACACACCCGACACACAGCTCCCCCGCCTGGATCTCCTCACCTTGCGTCTCATTCACGCTGTGCCTCGTGTGTCCGCTTTCGGCTTCCATGGATTTCCCCGCCAAACGTTGCGACTGACTGATACCATGGATTTTATTGTTTTGACCAGAGGCGACAAACCATCTCCAACCCATCACCACACTTCCGGGCACGCATCTTGAGCTGGGGAATTGCCAAGAATCATCCGCTGAATAAATTGCACACAAAGTTCTGCATAAGCTACTTACAGGACAGTCCATGTATACAGGACAGTCCATGTATCTGAGACGGGCTTGCTTCAAGTTGCTTCCAGTTGCGCCAAGGGCGTATCAACTCACAACTTCCTTGGGACCAAAAAGGAGGGCTGACAAACTGGGCGCGGGGAAAACACGTGGATCACGCCTTGTCTTGGTTCCCCATCGTGCGAGCTAAAGGATGAAGGGTCCGGAACTGGGAAGCATTCGCCGAGGATGCTCCGAGGCTTCGAGCGATGTGCCACTCTGCAGTCTTTTGAACCATTGGTCTCACTGAGTGGATGGCCCAAAAAAAGTCCAAACTCTTTACATTTACCACTAAAATGGTCTTCCCAGAAAGTTTACAGTTCATGAACTCAGGAAGTGAGTGTTTCAAATTCAGAAGCCCGCCATGTTCGCAGGATCTTTTACGAGAAGGATCACGCATGTTGAGGTACAGTAATTCGGCTAGCAGAACCATTTCAATGGTCATCTTGGGCCGCATCAAAAGGGCGACACAGGCGTCAAAAGCAAACTCCTCGAATTCAGGGGATGTAGTGATTTCAACATGGAGACGCTTGTTCAAACGAAAATGGAGGCTCTTGCATAATGAAGGCTCCTGCAATGGTCATCCCACTGTTAATATATTCTTACCTTTGCAATGGATGGCTATCCCCATAGCAAAGACTTGCCCTATCTGTGGGGAGGTGGACAGGGTGAGGGTTTGATTCCGCAGTGATTGAAAGCTTGTAAGCTTGTTGGCTGCTTGCTTTCCACCAGTGGGCGTTGACCGAACAACGAATCTGAACTCACAGCAAAGCACTGCACCAGAACACGAGAACGACTTAGCGATCCCTGAAAAACTGGCCGCTTTCTTTTGGCTTCCTTTCAGCCATTGAAAGGGGGGGGGACTTCAAAATGATGGCCCCTTTTTCAACCCTCCTTGTGCCACTTTTTCAAAAAGCATACCAGGGGAACTCTCCCCCAAAAAAGGGTAAAAGGGCACAACCTACGGTACCATTTTGGGGTAGGTGCACCACTCATTTTGGTCTATTTTAGTGCAAAAGAACCCCCGATTTTGATGCACCCCCAAAAGGATTTCCTTCAGACAGACCCATCTCTTTTTCTGAGTCATTGCCGAGCCGCTGAAGTGCTTCCCTGGCAAACAGTTTGTGTGAGGGAAGCAGGGGTCCCTCCAAATCTGGACAAGGATATGCCAATGTGGCCATGCCCGTTCTTTTAAGTGAACATCCCACTCCCCACACAAATAGACAAAAATGGGTGGTGTACCTACCCCAAATTGGTACCATGGGTTTTGACCCACAGCCATGTGTCAATGGTGGCATCCAAAAAATGATCCCCTTTTGGATAGCCTCAAAACAGACATTCACGCTCCCACACACACACACACAGAGACAAATGAGCAGCCTGACATCAGATTCAGAAGCATGGGGAAGCCCGAGATACTCTTCATTGTCACATCACAACAGATTACTACCCGTCCAACTATCGCAACATGGAATTCTCGCCACTTTCACGTCATTGGAGCCTTGTTCTAGACCAATGCCCATGCCCATGCTTGGGGGGGTTCCACCGAGGCCAATGCTTCTGGGCTATGCGAAGACCAGGGTTTCTCACATAGGTGTCCTTTTCGGGGAAATAGATGGAGATCCCTGGTAGATGATTAAACCAGGTAAACCAGGAATCGCCCAACCGATCTTTCGACCAGAACAACCAAAAAGGACACCTATGGTTTCTCAGTTTCTCCATGGCTGGTGTCTCTTGGGGCACCTTTTCTTTAGGTTTCCGGCACAACAAGAAAACCAAACCAACATTTTGGTTTCTTTGTGTGCTGGCACATACACACAAGAAAAACAATAAGGGATACAAAAACAATCCACCATTTGAGTGTCACATACATACACACACAAGAAAACTTTAAGGGATACAACAAAAAGAACAAAAAACAACATTTGGGTGTTGTGGTAGTCTGGCACATACATACGCAACATAAGAAAAGAGGAAAAAAAAAAAACATCGAGACCTCGACACCAAACAATCTAGGCAGGTGCACAATTGTTGCTGCTGGTACCTGGCCGACAGTTCTTTTCATTCTCAGCGAAAGGCATCCAAGACATATATAGGTGTGTCTTTTCTTTCTTGGACCCCCCCCCCGCAAAAACAAAAAAACGATGGTGGAGTTCCTTTTGGTTTCCCCTTTAACCCACCCCCCAAAAGGGCACCGTCAAACATCGGCACAACCATATGTTGGATTCTGGTCAGTGAACCTTAGCCAGGAATTTCAACAGAGATAGCGTGACGTAGCCAAGGGAGCACATCTCGAGAAACAAACAAAAATGGGCCAAACTCTGCATGGCTTTCCCAGAACCCACTGAAGTGGGGCTCAATTTGGATTCCCGAGAACTTGTGCTTCAATCAGGATGCCCACTGTCCATGTTGCACATCCGTACACTGCTAGATGGCAAGCAACAAATTCGAGCCATGCCCTAGGTGCCCCCCCCCCCCCCAAGGCCCCGCCCCCGCGGCGTCAAGGGTATGGCTTGGCTGGGTCACATGAGCTCCACCTGTTGCTGCTGAAGCAGGGCCTGCTGTTGCGCCTGATGCTGCGCCAGCAGCCTCGCGCGCGCGTGGAGCGGAGCGGGCCCCAAGCGCTCGCCCGCTCGCTCTAGCGCGAGCGCTGAGAGCGAAACGGTATCCTGCATTTGCTGAGAAGTCCCCTTGAAAATATCTATAAAAAATGTCCAGTAGTGATAGATTCCCTCTAAAACCAACAGGGGAAAACAAAAAACATCTTAACCACATGGAAGTGATGGAGGTGGGTCGACCCAAAAAGAAGGTCGAACCCTTTCAACACGCATGCCTCAAAATGCGAGGAATTGCGTACGCAAAGAAACACCAAAAACGTGTTGTTTTGTTTCTTGGGGTGCCTCCAAAATAAGAGTTGGCTTTCCCAATACACACTGCGCGGCAATCAGACCCTCCCCCTCAGGTAGACAAATACCTGATAAATGGTTGGTGGCCTGCTTCAAGAGATTGGGAACCCAAGGGAATCAGTCAACTTGGCGAGTACCCAGTGTGCAAATTTTGAATGATTCGGGATGAGCGACACACGTATGTTCCTGAAAAAACCTACTGCACAACAACATATTGAGGATCCTGGAAGGATGTGTGCTCTAATGGCTGCTAGGCAAATGCTCCGCTCCAATCTGTGGGGGCACATCAACTGCGCCCAAACAACGGACATGAGGGCGCGTGTCGGCATCCCTTCAGGGCCTCCAAAGCAGGGTTGGCACTACTCAATGTATACAAACGCCTCACTTGCTTTGCCCCAAAGAGCCCACTGAAACAGGCGCGAACTTTTGGGCACCAGACCGGCTCAACACCTGTGGCAGAGAGCTGGGGCCCCCCGGCTGCTGCTGCTCCAGCTGAAGCTGCTGAATTTGCTGTTCCATGGAGAGCGAATGCCCCTGCGACTTTTGTGCCTAAGCCGACTGCCGAGAACACATGGCCTCCCTGCAGAATTTCGCCTGGACCCGCTTGGATCTTTCCAGTTAAATCAGTCAACCATCAGTCAGCTTTGAATATTCAGTGTGTATGCGCGAATACATACATATATATATATATGTGTATGCACATGTAAACCCGACACAGCCACGGGACCTCGGATATCTCGAGGAGATTGCTGGAGGTTCTTGACTGAGGCGGCGACCTTTAAAGAGTTCGCACTGGGGATGAGCCTCAGTGCCAGCGTCGCTCACGTGTTGGACCAACGGAGCTGGCAAGTGCAATAAAAATAGAATTGCCAAGGAAGACTTTTGCAACTCCAACAGATCACATCTGCATGATGGCAGTCATGAACTTGGCACACGCAATATATGCGCTATGCTCATAGCGCTGATTTTCAACTTCTGAACTTCTGCACAGAGTCGGGTTGCGGAAGGACATGGTCCCACTTTCACCCGTGGCAAGCTTTGAGAACTTTTCATGTAGGGGAGTCCAACATGGAGTCTTCAGACCAGGTGTCTTCAGACAACTTGGATTGCAGCAAGCTGTACGAAAGGTACCTGCAACCTTTTTCTCTTTCATGAGACAAAACACCCTTCCGGTCAACTTGAAAGTGCACCACCGCAATGTGGAACCCTGGAATCATAAGCCGTATGGATCAATAGGGTGTTGCGTCCAAAGTGGAGGATCCCCGTTTAAAAAAACAAAAAACGCCCCCCCCCCCCTGTCAAGTTCTCGCAGGCATAGGTGGGCTTTTGGAAAAATAGATGGCCCTGGTAAATGGAATACAACCCCTCTAAACCAGTGGAACCCAATTTCTAGCCAAGCCAATCTAAGAAGGACACCTATGCAGGGGCGAGCATCAGAATCTGTCAAGATTTCTGAGGCTCCTGGCAAATACTGCCCGTTGTTCTTGCTGGCAGGCTCCGAAGCCTGCCGAAACTTGAAGCACTGCAATGGATGAATCTGAGGGTGTTTGGATTACACCCTGGGATTACACCCTTGGGAAATGACCCAGAATGGTTCAAAATAACACGGGTTTCTCCGGACATGTGCCTAAATGGGGTCAATACCCAGTGGGTGTATTCCCAGGGTGTAATGCAAAAACCCATAGAATTCATGCTTGAACAATGATGAATGTTAATCAGTGCATACACTATATCATAATAAATATGTCATTGTATTTCTGTTGGCAAAACATAAAGGTCATCTCTCCAACGAATATCATCTATGCTGGGTTTTCTCTGTGTTTTATATAAACAATACATGTGTTCTTGATGTTATTACATTTGCTTAAACAACAAGACTAATGCATTGAAAACATAGCTTATGCTTCGCAGCATTACCGTGGGGAAAATGTGGCTGTTGAATGGAAGGTCGATGAGCAAAGCTCTGGAGCTGAAATTCTCTCAGCGACCGGCCAGGACGCTGAGAGGTCCACTTTGCATATCAAAATGCGCAGATTGCTCAGTACAAAACGTCTGCGTGCCGCCATGCCTCAATCAAAGAAGCCACACGGCTTGCAACGTGTCTGGTCATGGTTCCCTTGGTCCCAAGAATAGTTTTCTCGAGTTGCTTCTAAAGGTCCATGACCATCCCTACTAGCCAACATGGTCTTTTGGACCATGGCACACATGATGAACCGTTGGTGTCCACCTATGGTTCACCGCCGAAATTATGATCCGGCTCCCTAGCACGATTCATACACCCCATATGATGATCCAGGAAATCCTTCCGCACCAAGAACACAAATAGAACATCTGGAAAATACGAACCAAGAAAAACACCCATGAACGCAAAACAACATTGAACATGAAAGGGAGAGTCAATAGTCAATCAAATGGAAACTCTACTCGAACATCAAATCCAGCAATACTAAATCAAATGGACTATCAACTCCAGAAATACTAAAGTTACTAAATCAAATGGACAACTCAATCCAGCAATACTAAATCAGATAGAAGCTCAAATCTGTCATATCCAAGCTCAAAATGAAACTCCACCAGTACCAAGTCAAATGGAAACTCAACTCTCTCAAATCCAATCTCAAAACAAAGCTCCAGCAACAGTACATCAAATGGCAACTAAAAGTTCGCCCCAGCAATACTACCCAATTCTAAACCAATTGATTTGGTGCGGGGTCGTTCGTTTCACGAGAAATGGCTTGTTGAGGGGATACGAGTGTACAATTAGAGGTGGTCAGTGCGGCTTAAGACGATCCCTTCAGCACCAGATCAGATAATTTCCGTTGGAACCCTTCAACCCACCACGCATCTTGAGCTGCCAAATCCTTCCAGCTGCCCAGCTGCCCAGCTGATTGCCCGAGCCCCATTCCCACATCGGGTAGCGCCGTGCCTGACGACCAGCCACGCCTGCGTGGCCAGTGGTGGCGTTGAAGACATCCAAATCAGAAGTCACCGATTCATGATTTTGCATGCAACATGGGTGGTGAAACTGTCGCCTTGCAAGCCACGCCAGGGAATGTCGAAGACATTGCGGGGCAAATGCAAATGCCATGTTCAACCAATTCAGAAATCCGCGAACAACGACCGTTGTTTGTTGGTATTTCCAGGAGAATCATGAGAAACCACGGTGTGTGTGTGTGCCTCGACGGTATGCGGAATTTCGCGCAAAAGATCTGGCAATTTAGGTATAGCGATGCGAAGTTCAGGAATCTTATCACGGCATTTTTCAGAGCTGAGGGCACTTATTAGTTAACTAATCCGAATGTCTTTTGAATTCCGACCAAAAAATCACAATTCCAGTGGAAGTGAACGAATTGCGCGCGGAAAGAACACATTCAAATCTCCAACCCAAACCAGCGATCGACTGAATCGCTCACGGCCTTCAGTCCACAAACTTCCGGCACCTGATTTCGCACCGATCCCCGAGAACCGGGTCGGTCGGACGGGCAGATCTGCGGCAGATCGGCACATGGAGTGAGGTCAACAGCGACCCAACTTGCAACCAACTGCTTTCAAGATGGACCAAACTAAGGAACCCAAGCTTCAGTCTGGCAAACTGGAAAGGACATCTCGAGGAGCTTGCCCAGAGAGCTGATGTAGCTTGGTGAGTGGAAGCGGGTAGCTTGACATGCTTCAGTGCAGGTTCAAAGTGACAGCTAAATGACACGAGTACCGGGAAAGAACGGATTCTGAAAGGACCGTGCTTGTCCTTTTTGTGGCAGTGTCTTTCTTGAGGCTCAGGAACCTTTTTCAAGTCCTTTTAAAGGGACCCAAAAAAGGAAACCACATTTAATTTCTTGTGTGTGGTGGGCGGGGGAGGCTCCCCCCCAAAAAGCAGACCCATATGGCTTCCCCTTTCTCGCACTTTCCATTGCAAGGCGTTGCAAGGCCTGGCGTTTCCGAAAGGCTGTGAAGTGACTTGGACCCTTCTCAAGCTGGTGGGCTCCTCTTTTGGATGGTTTCAAAGCAAAACCAACTGGACACAACCCATTTTGCAGTTCTGAGTCTTGCTTTGAGAATTCAAGTGAGTGGTGTGTTGCCACAGAAAATCAGCTTCCTCGCCTTGACGTGCCTCTCGCCCATCTTCCTCCTCTTCTGCCTGGCAAATGCTTGATGCAAAGGTCCTGTTCGGTAAGGTCAGTGCATGTCTTTTAACGTGAGGAGTCAACTCCTCTTAGCGACCTCTACATTCAATCAGCGGAACCAGGGGTAGATTGGCCTCGTTTGCACACATCCATGCTATGAAGTATATCGAGAAATCTGCTTTTGACCTTTCTGCCACTGTCCACACTCTCCCTCCCACGACCCTGACAGCCAACGGCACCTCGTGATTTCTGGAAAATCTTGCAACCCCAGCCCACAGGTGTCCTTTTGGAGAAAACAATGGATGGGTATGCCTGGTAAATGTGCAACTTGTACTTTTAACCCAAACCAACCTAAAAAGTATACGGAGATTTAAAAAAAACAAGGAAAAACAAAAAAACACATTGCCCATGCCATGCCAAACCTCCCGCGGGACGTCGCCCCCCGGCTGAACCGTCTTGGACGGACTCGCCAAGCTCCGCCGGGCGCGCCATCTCCACGCGGGGCCGCGGCGGAGCCGAGCTCTCGCGGCCTGCGACGCGCGGCCGACGACTCACCCGGGGGTCAGAAATTTCTCCGGGCGAAGTGTACTTGAGTTTCACCAACCTGAAATTTTCGAGATCATACCGCACCTTGTTCACTCAACTGGTCTGAACATCAACTTGACACTATCCTGGGTGAATCGTAATATTTCTCGAGGGGTCGATTCCCCATTCTTTTCAACCATCGTTCTTTCCAAAAACTGGCCGTTTTCCCTGGGTTTCCGGAGGTTTTCTGAAAGAAGGATCCCTGGAAAGAATGGGGAAGGTACCCCTAGAATTTCACCAACCTGAAACTTGCGGTGGTTGGGGGCTATTCCCCACATAATAACCACCATTTGGGGTGAATTCGGTCGTGTGAGGTCGTTATAATTCACCCAAACCCGATGCTTGGCTGCTGTTAAACCCTCTGCAAAAAGTTTAACTCTTTGTGGGCTTAGTGGAAAATCCCTTGACTTCCCAAAAAGTTAAGGTCTAAAGATCCAACCCAATAGCAGTCAAGTATGGGCAGTCTTTTGACTTCCCTTGACCATCCAAAGACATGGATCCCTAGTTTTCAGGAGGCGTGGAACCTGTGCCACCCTCGGGCAGAGGTTGAAGCAAAGGCGACAGGTTGCGTTGACCGGACCCTCATGAGCACATCCTCAAACAAGACGCAGTCACGTGACCCCCTAGACTCGCCCATAATTTGGTATGCATTAGATTAAGTACTCAGCACTCAAAAGCACACTGCTACAGAATTTCTGCGCGCTAGCGACTTGACACCAATAATTTTCACATTTCACTCGCAAAATGAGTACCACCATGTCAAACACCCAGCAACAATCATATATGTTCTAGAGCCAAATACAGAGCTTGAGATCCATAAGCCTGGTGATGAACCTCGACGAGTAGTCACAATGAACACAAGAAAACAAACGCACAAACACACACAAAAAAAAAGCTATACACTTGGGATAGGCTGCAGAGCGTGTGTTGTTTTTTTTGCGAGTGCAGGACTACGTGAAAAAACTTGATCTCACAAACAGTGGAGAAACAGTGTCCCTGCAGGGACTGTTCATTTGGACGTGTCTCGGCAAGTAATATCGGACCTCCACGAATGGTTGGTTTAGCCACAGCTCCTTTCAGGAGCAATCCCAAAGTGGCTCATTTTTGCTGGACCAGGGAGGTTGAAAGGTGTTGGCAGTCGCGAGTCGCTACAACCAAGGTGTAAATCTGTCCCACCTGCACTAGACAACAACAAGCCCCCGCTTCATTCACTGGTAAGTCGATTTAGCTCAAGTGAGTCGCAATCAAAATCCGGTATGAAAATGGTTGACCCAGCACCATGTAAGGAATTACAAAGGCGGCCGCAGCTGTTTCTGGCTGGGATTGTCCCTTACTAACCTTCATCTACCCGGGTTTGATTGTGGCTCAGGTGAAGTTGGATTAGATTGACCTCGGATACTCGTCTCTTGTTGGCAAGTGCCCCGAAGCGGTGGCAAATCTCACAAGGCTCAAAACAGCTTTGTGGCAGATGGGCAAAAAGAAGTGCTTCAACATGCCTTGCAATCGGATTCCAACGAGGCTGCTGCGGTTCATTTGCTTAAGCCCCCTGGAACAAATAATAATATTTCCACTAGTAATGGATTCTCTTCTAAAACCCACAAGGGACAATAACACATATTCATTTCAGCAAATGGAAGCCTTAAGAGCTGGATTCTCAGATCTTCACAGAACAAAGAGATCAAGAAACAAAGAAACATTGCCATGGCCTGACAAGGCTCCTGAATTCCGACCGAAACAAACGCCCAGGAGCTGTGAACAAATCTCCTTGCCAAACTGGTCCAAACCATAGCGAGTGACGAAAGTTCCCGAAACGGAGCTCAGGAAGTGAGAGACAGCTCCTCGGCCTTCGAGAGTTTCTCGAAGGGGTGAACATATTTTAGTTGTGACCTAGACGCCAGGGGAATCCAACCCACAGAAAGGGCCAAATCCGATATATATATATATATATATATATATTTTTCAGCACCCATGCAAACGGGTCCAAATCCAGGACCCCCGGCGTCGATCTTTCATGCCGGCGTTGGAGGTCTGCTCCTGGCGATATTTCTCACTCTGGGGAGTGGAAGGGGTATTCAAAGTTCTATAATGTTGACCCAGGATGTTTTTTAAACCAGTCCCATTATTGGGGGGTGTTCCGAACAGTGTTCCCTCCAAAAGTGGTCTGATTCCCCACTAAAAGGGACACCCCCCCGATTAATCAACCAGGGGTTTCTTAGTCCGGGGTGAAGATTTGTACCATACGGGTTTTGAGATTCAATTTGAACTCTTGCCGCTTGCTTTCGAGATCATACCGCACGTTGTTCAGTCAACTGGTCTGAACATCAAGTTGACACTATTCTCGGTGAATCATAATATTTCACCAACCTGAAACTTGCGGTGGTTGGGGGCTATTCCCCACATAATAGCCACCATTTGGGGTGAATTCGGTCGTGTGAGGTCGTTATAATTCACCCAGACTATTTGCTCAAAGACACTACTTGATTATCCTTATGACCCGACTGTCCGCACAGTTGCTACTCGCGAGTGTCTAAGCTCAGCGTATGCAGTCGTGTTGCGACAGCCTGCGTTTACGCTAGTCCAAAAAAATACAGCAGTACGGAGCTCCCACCAACTAACACGGAAGTGCCAAGAGACGCCAACTCACCAAGAGGAAAGTCGTCTTTCTACAGAATTTCTGCGCACAAAGCCATGTTCGCTTCAGCTCTTGGAGTCAGCCGCTTCTTCTTCTCCGTCTTTGAGCTTGGCTTTGCGTTTGCCGATATTTCTAACCTCCACACGTTGTGTGGCCCAAAAATGAAGTACACAACAAAACGTATTCTCAGAATCTGCTGTGTTATATCGAACTTATATATTTCATGTCAACCAAACCAATGCATCGAACCGTGGGCCGACCCCTCACCACAAGCCAAGGGCAGGAAAACGAGGAGCCCATCTAGCTTCTGGCCTTCAAATGAGCGGTGGTCGAAACATGGGTTCCACAATGTGATGTTCCATGTCTGCCTTCGCGAACCCTTTCACGGCCTTTCGCGAATCTTGCGCACTCCACAGTTTCCTTTCGCGGAGCACATTGGGCAAGAAACCGACTTGTGCGGAGCTTTCGCGGACGGTTCAGCAACCTAGTGTTCAAAATCGGCCTTTCACGGCCCCTTTCACAAACATGATTCCTCGCGTCCCTTTCGCGAAACTTGAAACTTGCACGGCCCTGTGATGCCCTGTGTTTTCCTTTCGCGCAGCAACTTGCAGGACAGCACCTTTACTAAAGTCTTTCGTCGGGGTTTGAACACTGCTCACATGACCAAGGGTAACTTTTTCTATTTTGTGGGAACTATCAGCTTGTTTTGTGGTTTCCCTGATTATCCCATGCTTTACGGACCTTTTGATCAACCTCCATGTCTCGGAAATGAGGCTCTGAGGCAGTCGACCACCCCCCGTTTTTGTCGGACATCTCATCTCCTGTTCGGTTCTCCGGGTTTTCGCCCGTCCCATCCTTTTCGGAAAGATGGCTCCCATCTCAAATCATAACTTGTTTGACGACCCCTCTAACAGCAGAGTCTTCCACAAAAAGATGTCAGGTGCCATGGCGTTTTTGTTGTTCCTTAACTCTTGGCATCGAGAGGGTGCAACCACGTTTTACGTGAATCAACCTCTTGGCATCGAGAAAAACAGCCAGCAGTCTCCTGATTGTCCACGTGCAGGAAGGTGTTCTTGACCTCAGGCCCACAACCCCGCCAGGTTCCAGGCTTAGGCTACCGAGCTGGACCTTTCACTCGGAGATGAACACTTCTTGAGCTCAAGTCCGGGTCTGGGGTACCCCTTCCACGGGACAAGAGCACTGCCAATGCCCTCTCCCATGCCTTCCCATGCCCAGACCCGAGCCAGGAAGTCGGGGTGTTCTCACGCGAGTATCCGACCGAGTCAGCTGAGCCCAAGAGGTCAACTCCAAGCCCCAGAAAGGAAAGCAGTGGAGTCCATTCTTGGTTGACGTTGGGTTTGGGGAGCAACAATCTAATTTTTAGCAGTTAAGTGGGGATTTCAACCACTAAACCACAATAAGCAAAAATGTAAAATGCTTCCCCCCCCAAAAAAAAAACATGCATTGTCCATTGTGATTGTGAAGGACGGCAAGCAAGTGGACTTGCATCTAGCCTATCCATCGCTACAGCCAATGCGTCACCGGCAAAAGCGAAAGCGACCACCAAATCGAGCTGTGCAAAACAAGAGGTCACTTACGGGCACAAACTACCAGGCGATTGGGGAGCAGGTGAATGGAGAGAGGAAAATTCGGTGGTGCTCAGCCCGAGGTGTGAACGTCATCTCCAAGGCAAGCATGGATGATATGACACGCGGCACAATGGGTCAAATACTGTGGAAGTGGACAAGATCATGTTGGAAGACAACAATTCTCTTGAAAAGGGCTTGCCCACTTCCATGCTTGAAAGAATGGTATGCGGATGGGAACTGACAGTTATGAAGGCTGCCCGCCTTCTTTTCACCAATCGTTCTGTTCAAGACATGCTATTGGCCTCTCGGCCCACCTAATTGTCAACGCATGTGAGTGGCGAATTAGTGGTCTGAATGCTGCGCCAAACCCAAAGTTTCAAACATTCAATGTAAAATGCGTGTGCGATTCAGGTGGGTAGCGGACTTGCTGAAAAAGTATAGTCAAACCCAACTTGGTATAGTGCTGCACGAGATCATTTCAAGAGTCGTTGGAGGACAAAGCAGAAACAGCCGGTTACCTATCTGCTAGGTGCTTTTGCGCCCGTGTGTGTGTGTGTGTGTGTGTCTGCGTGTCTGTGTATAGTGTGTGAGTGTGTGCGCGCGTGGTTGGTTGGTTAGTTGGCTGGCCGGCCGGCCGGCCGGCCGGCCGGCCGGCTGGCTGGTTGGTTGGTTGGTTGGTTCGTTGGTTCGTTGGTTCGTTGGTTCGTTGGTTGGATAGTTTGTTGGTTGATTGCTTGGTTGCTTGGTTGGTTGGTTGGTTAGCTTGTTGGTTGGTTGCTGGGTTGGTTGGTGTTCTTTCTTTCCTTGTTGTCGTTTTCAATGTTTATTTGTTTCTCTTTTGCTATTCCTTTATTTATCACCTGCTGAGCGGATGGCCCAAAAAAAGTTCAAACTTTATATTTACCACTAAAATGGTCTTCCCAAAAAGTTTAAAGTTCATGAACTCAGGAAGTGAGTCTCTGTTTTTTCTTCCTTTCTTTCCTTCTTTCTTTCTTTGCCTGCCGGGCTGCCTGCCTGCTTGCTTACTTGTTTCGTGTGTGCTGTTTTGTTGGTCTATGACGGTCTATGTGTATGTTTGTTTGTTCAATTGTGTCTTTACATATAATAATTGGTCTGTGTGTTTGTGTGCTCTTTCGTTTGTTTGTTTGATTGACTGATTGATTGACGGATTGATGGATTGATGGATTGATGGATGGATGGATTGATTGATTGATTGATTGATTGATTGATTGATGGATGGATGGATGGATGGATGATGGATGGATGGATGGATGAATTGATGGATTGATGGATTGATGGATTGATGGATTGATGGATTGATGGATTGATGGATTGATGGATTGATGGATTGATGGATTGATGGATTGATGGATTGATTGGATTGATGGATTGATTGATTGATTGATTGATTGATTGATTGATTGATTGATTGATTGATTGATTGATTGATTGATTGATTGATTGATTGATTGATTGATTGATTGATTGATTGATTTACTTATTGATTGACTTATTGATTAATCGGTTGCTTGAGTGCTTGTTTGTTTGGTCAATTGTTTTTTTTGGTCTTTTTTGTGTGGTTGCTTGCTTTCTTGCTTGCTTGTGTGCTTGATTGAGGGTGCCCTGTGTTGGGTTTTCTGAAGGGAAAACAAAGGGACACCAATCACATTGGGCTCCCCCAGTTTGACACATACCCATATTTTGGAGAGTCTGCCACATTCTATCTGCAAACCGCAAGTGCGGGGCATGCCCTCATTGCTCCGGGTCCAGAGGTAGCCGGCTCAACTCCCATGGGCCCATTTCGGGATGGCTGCAACTCACTTCCTGAGTGGATTGGCCAAACAAACTGGGCCTTCTACTTTCCACCAAAATGGTCGTCCCATAAAGTGAGCAAAGTCTAGGAACTCAGGGATGGCTTCAAAGAACGGAAAGCCGTTTGCAGAGACTTACTTTGACGCGCACGTTGACCTTGCCTGCGAAAAAAGGACGGGTTTTTGCTCGGGCCCGGGCAACACACTTCGGCTGTTCGGACCCGCCGTTCCAGTCCTGTGCCGAAACATGGCTGCCGCGTCGAAACAGAAGCAAGGCTGGCTGAACATGCCTTCTAGCGGGAAGCAGACATGGACAAATGGCCAGGCGTTGATTACTCCTACCCAAGCAACTAGGTCCTCAGTCGAGAGGTTAGAATAAGGGTACACTTTTTATTTTTCTATTTTAGTAGGGGAACCCTCCCCAAAAAAGTTGGTCAGAAAGGGCACTACTGGCTACTTGTTCTACCCGAGCAAGGCTCAACACAAGTTTGAATTGGTGCAAGCCTCAACTGGTTTCACAGCATGAGACTTATTCAGGCAACACAGGCACAACGTCCTGCACTACAAAGTCCAACCAGGAACAAGCAGGCGATCGTGGCAAAAGCGAGGAGTGCAGGACACCCAAGCTGCCAAACAATCCACATCTGTGCAACATCAAGTACGATGAATCGCTCTTGAACCAGCAGCCGCTAGCCTTTACAATCAAGACAGGATCTGAGGATGCTTTACGATGCTTTCAGGATTTGCCTCATCAACACGCGTCCTGATCAACAGAAATATGGATACAAGTGCCACTGCAAGGCTTCTTCAAACTGGGAATCTGGACTCTCGGATTACCTGCAACCACGGCGATAGCATTGTAGGAATGTGGCTGTGGGTCAAAACCCGGTTCCCCTGTGAACACCCAGAAAGCCTTCCAAAAAGACAACAGTGGAGTAACCATCCACCAGGCCCCTGAGGTTTTGAACCACCATGTGGCACAAGGAAACGAGCAGCCAAACCTTCTAGAGCTCCACGGCTTCGATTCGATCCGTGGCCTTTGAGTCCCTCGTGGATTGGTCGTCGGATACCGAGACTTGGCCAACTCGAGCTGTAGGCGTCAGCTATCGGTGGCGAAATCTGCGAAGCCCTGCTAAAAGTGACCAACGTTTAGTGGCTCAATACGGAAAACCCAAAAATTTGTTGGCAAAAAGTGGAAGTCCCAACAGTGAAGCAAGATGCACCAAAGTACTCACACTCTGGGTCAACCCCAAAGGGCCCAACATGGCCGTAGTCCCAGCGCCCCAAAGGCGATCCACGCGCGCCTTCTGGAACATCATCCCGGAGCAACTTATGGGCCTGGGCGGCTGGGGCTCTTGCTGGGGCGTGGGGACTCCAAACCTCGCTGCGAAGAGAGCCATGTCAAAAATGTGGCTGGTCAAAATGCAAGATTGGTTAAAATTTACCAAGGGGCCATTTTGGAATTCATGCTTCTGAGCCACAGCCATGTGGCTCGAGGGGAATGAGGGATTGACCATGAGCCATCCCCTCGTGGCTTCCTTGAGGGAAATCCTTGGCATTCCCCAAACCCACGCTGATTCCCTGAGACCAGCAGGGCTCGGCTTCGGTCTTTGGGCCAGGCATCAGCTGCATGCCAGGCAACGACATGGATGTCATGCCTGCTGGCACCGCCATCAGTTGAACCTCAGTGGGTCTGCAGCTGACAGCTCACGAAGAGGCACGCATACAAGTTGGCCGCACCTGTCTTGAAGGCCCCCCAGGTTTCGCGAGGATCCCCCTTGCTTCTTGGAGACAAAGCACAAAGGTACCCCATCTTCGAATCTTCGAAATCACCGGGTGCCAACCTGAGAGAGACACAACGCAGGGTGAAAAATAGGCGCCATGCTCCACGACGTGTGCCAAGCGGCGTTCGGCATCGGTGCCAGAATCGTCTGCTGAGGGCAGCTTGGCATCGTCATTTGAGAGCTCTGCATGCCAGAAAAGCCTTGGCCGGCCGGTGGAACAACCTGACAAAAGGAACACATGGCCTTTCAAGCAAGGGAAGACACGTCTTCACTTTGCTTAACCACTCTTAAAAGGACCTGACTTTTTCTGCAACAAATGGATGCGATGAACTTTAATCAAGGGAACACCAGCTCCATCCCATCAAAGCGACTGGATTGCTCGAGACAACGACAGCCGCGCCATTCGCGCTAGGCACCAAAGGAAGTAACGTGAGGAAGCCCTGTTGACAGCGTGTCACGCAAAATCAAGTCATATGCCATTGCATGACGCCCTAAAACACAAACACATGCTGTGTTGCTAGGAATCTGAAGAATCTTGGTTGACGTTGGAAGGGGAGCAAACAAATAAACATCTAGCAGTTAAGTGGGGATTTCAACCGCTGAACCACAATAAGCCAAAATATGAAATGTTTCCCAAGAACCATGGAATGCGGTCCCAGTGGTGCAGGGGCTAAACTATACTTAGTTAGAATCCCAGCCAAGCCCCTCGATCTACTCCTGATGATCAGCCGACACATTTGGCCCTGTTGGCAATCAGGATTCAAGTAGAAGCGCATTGCAACATTTCCACGGTCAAGTTCCCACGCACGTGGATCGGGCAAGTTGCACGGCTCATGTATTTTGCCCCTGAAAGGCCTTCTAGTCAACAAAAATCTCACAAAGAGCCTGAGGAAATCCAACGCACTGCCGATCTCCACGGCAACAGCAAGATGACAAAGGCCATGCATGGTCTTGTCTCCAAGACGGTGGATCACCCCCCCGCTCCCGGCCCCCCCCCCCCCCGGCGTACGCCATGGGGCCTAACAGGCTAAACCACACAAACACGAACAGCCCCGAGTCGAGACCCACATGGGGTCTGCCAGGGCTGCCAGGGTGTTTGTCTCGTTAAAAATCGAGGGTGTTGGTTGCAATGATTGAGAAAGGAATTAGTTTTACAGGGTCTGACAAAAAAAATGACACGTATCACCATCACTATGGACAATGGTTGCCAACATCCGAACGCCGCAAGCAGTGAAGGGTACACTGCGCCCCCCGTTTCGAACCGCGCTACGCCTTTCTGAAGACAAAACGGCTTGACACACAACAAATCATATGGGATTTGCACGTGGCCCAGTAGGATCTTGTTTTTCCTCAGGCCAGAAACGTCCTGCAGAATCCTCCTGTTCGTCCGCCGCAGAGTACTAATTCACCTCCCCAGAATCCGGCATAAGACTGAACCTCCATTTCCTTAAGCCCCCGGAAAAAAAGGTAATAACATGTTTGTTGTTTGTTATTTTAAACAAACAATAAAATAAAACCTTTCCAGTAGTGCTAGATTCCCTTTAAAACCAAGACGGATAACAAAAAAAACACAACATATTCTCAAGCAAATGGAAGTTAAGGCCTTAAGAGATTCATAGCTCATAACTCCCCGCCAGCCATAGGTCAGATCGCCGCATGTTTCTGGGGTGCCCCGCCGCAAGGCTGCTGCGACGCTTGATTCTGGCTTCCCTGGTTTGCCCATTGCCTTAGCCGCTTTCAACTTCTTCGCTCCAACCAACCATCTTTTTGCAGAATAACTGGCTTCCCGAGCTTCGTGGCAAAAAAGAAGAATATGTTCTTTGTCTAGGTTCTCCAGTGGAGAGGTTAGAAGGAGGGTACCCTTTCTTCTGTAGTCTATTTTAGTAGGGGACCCCTCCCCCAAAAAAAGGGTACAAGGGCACTGGGCGACCTAGTTGTTCTTGCCACATGTCCGCATTGCGTCGCTTCATTGACGCCTGGCTCAAACACTGAAAAACCTCTTGATCCTTGTTTTACGTGCCGCGCCCCGGCCGGGTAAGGGCCGCGGTTGAAATGGAATCCACGAATCTGTGATACCACCAAAAGGGCCTTTTAAAGACTCACCCCCCCGTATAAACTTGGCTGACGTTGGAAGGGGAGCGAAAAATTAAAGTTTAGCAGTTAAGTGGGGATTTCACACCAAACCACAACAAGCAAAAATGAAAATGTTTCCCAACAACAACCATATAAAGAGGGGATTCCCTTGTATCACAGAAGTGGGGATAAACCCACTTGATCCCACAACCCTGGTGGTAAGTAACTGTACGTTAGAAGGTTGCAAACAAAGAGTAGGGACTGGCTCTACTGCCAACAGGGCACGGAACGATGAATTACTAGCAAGACACAACATCTGTTGGGGTAAGGATATATATATATTATACACAGAAGACACAGGAGACCACTGGCATGACCCGGAATGGAATCACGATCAACAGAAACGGGATTGGTGGAACTAGGATGACCAGTTCAACACAGCGGGCAGCTACGATTCAACACACGACATCAGCGGAATCAGTGACTCTACGGCCCTACGAAAAGTGCATTCTACAAGAAAACAAGTTAATTACACCCTTACCACTAGGAAAGATACAAGTACCGACAACAAGATGAGCAGCAACACAACATCAAAGGAGACAATATACAGGAGAGCAACTTCATATGCGCAACAACCACATGAATGCACTCAGAGAAACTACTGGACTCTGGCGCATCCACACATGTTTGCTCCAGAGACTATGCACCAGATGCAGCACTACGACCATGCACCACAACTCCAAAACTCCACACTGTCACAAATTGTGAAAAATCGCGGTCGCAGAATTCTGTCGGCGCCCAACAAGGACGACTTGAATATCATGATGCCTACGTCAAACAATCCGATCCCTTGGTGGCTCAAGAGTCTGGATGGAGGCTACCTTGAACTGGACTCACGATGCTCACATGGCACCTCGGCACCACACACTCAGCGAGGACTCTGGTACCTGGCCATGAAGAGGGCCTACATCTCAAGGCTCTGACCTACAACCGGTCATGATGGAAGATGGAGACATGAGAGCGGCATAGAGCAGTACTACAGCCAACACAACATGGAAATTTAGAAGAAACTTCTGTAGTACGGAAACTACTTGAAAGGTAGCTTGCGCAGATAGATAACTTACAGAAGATGAGACATGATGGCGAGTGCGAAAAGATAGCTGCTGCAGATAGCTTTTCATCTGATCTTCGAAAAGATAGCGATTAGCTTTCTGAAGTGAAGGGTAGCTGTCCTGAAAAAGCAGATGAGAGAGAAAGGAGAAGAGAAAAGAGAAGAACACAAAAAAAGACAAGCAAAGAGAAGAGGTGATAAGTGTTCAGATTGAACCGGTGCAGCAATTGGATAAAAAGTGTTCAGAGAGACCGCCCAGTGTCTTTCGCGTCCGGGGAATGGCAAACCACCTCGAGCGTGTCGCTCGTTTTTCGGGGGTCGGGACCTGTTCGGGACGGGTGCGGAAGGGGGGGCGACGCCTGGTTTTTCCGCGACAGTTGGACAAATAGACATCTTGACAGATAGCTAGCATAACAGAAAACAGCTTGACAAATGGATAGCCCGACGGACAGCTTGACAGAAGGCTAGCTTGACAAAGGAAAGCTTAACAAATAGATAGCTCAACAGATAGACAGCTGGACAGATAAACAGCAAACAAATAGCTTCACAGGCAGGCAGCTTGACATATAGATAGCGAGCGCTGGTTTCCAATGGTTTCCACGACCACTTCAATGAGGCCGAGTGAGATCGTCAAAGCAACAGCAGGCATCCCTATAGTGCCACCGGCTCTGCCGGCTTTACTGGCACCACTAACCCACACACACACACAGACCAAGGACTACGAAGAATCCTTGGAGGAAACACAGACTTCTTGCAGGCAACAGAACACCGCAGACTATGAGCATTTGCTTGATTAGTGTTGTGATACCACTCCACATCACTACACATATCTCCACTTGTATTTTAACGCGAGAGAGAGAGAGAGAGATCGAGAGAGAGCGAAAGAGAAACGAGCAGCAGCCCACTCGCATACTCGATCAACGCAGGCTATCGGACTCAACACAACCAAAATCACATCAAGTCGTATGACATTTGCTTTGCCGCCTTTTCTCTGTCCAACGGGTACCAACCAGAATCCATACATAGCATGCATGCCATACCACTGCCAGACTGCAGCTAACCTCTTGGCCAAGGCACATATTCTGCATGCCTCCTTGCTGCATGTTGTTAAAGACTTGCATGTTCATCCCCTGCATCCCCATGTTCTGCTGCATGTCGAAGACTCGACGCTCTCCTGGCACAAAGCCATGTCAACGTGCTTCATGCCATCACAAAAAGGGCTGAAGTTTGATGAGTTTGCATAAAGGCATCCCGAAGTAAGGAAGGCACCTTCTTCATGGGCGAGCTCGTTGGCGAGCTTGCTGCAATGTGCACACTTTGACGCACTTCATTGGAGCAGTGGAGAGTCCCCAGCTTAAACGTCACGTGAAACAAGAAATCAAACTCCCTACTCCCAACACCGCTCTTCCATCACCTGCCCTTCTCCCATTGACCGCAGGCCTGACATATTGGAACATACCATTGAAACTGGGAAACCTTGTCCGGAGCTAGTGAACATTGTAGATGTAACTGGAGGGCGAGTGGGATCAAATCTTGGGCCTCCCGGGTTCGCAAGGCTAAGCAAACAAATTGGTCAAATGACTGGGATCCCCAAAGGAAATCATGGCTTGGTCCAACCTATGGCTGCAATTTCACTGCTACTGAGTTGATTTCCAGTGCCGCACGACAACTGCAGCCACGACTCACACTCGAAAGGTTGGCGGCTCAAACAAAATTCGTAGAGTGATGGGCAACCGCAGGCTTCCGCAGACCTCCGAAACCATGACACTCTGATGAAAAGGTCACGCCCGAAATCAGAAACTTGCACGCAGGCCATCCTTTCACCCGGCCAAAACAAGACACGTTTAGGGTATCTAGGTCCTCCAAATTTGAGAGGTTATAATTTTTGTGTACTCTTTTTTTCTGTAGTCGATTTTAGGGGAACCCTCCCCCAAAAAAGGGGTGAGAAAGGACACCTAGCTGGCGGACCTAGACATGGCTCAAGTGTTGGCTAGCCTGCAAGTGGATCAAGAGACTGCGGCCAAATGCGAGTGGCTTCCTCTTGGCGTTCCCTTTCAGCCAAAAGCCTCAAAAGACACGTTCGGTCAAGTGCCCATCGGGCTCAACAGGTGTGAGCCAGAGTGAAATGTTTCGCCAACAGCTAGCGGGAGTCGCAAACCATATAAAACAAACGTGACTTTTTAACATCATTTCTGTATCCCGAAAGTGAAACTCGTGCA